CAGAGCGAGTGATTTAGAGAGAGAACAAGGAGGAAGCTTCAGTGGCCTTTAGCCTTGGAAGTGGTGTGCCATAACTTCTGCCATATTCTATTTGTCACACAGACCAACCCTGATGCAATATGGGAGGGGACTATTCAAAAGTGTGAATACCAAGAGATGCGGGACCATTAGGAACTGTCTTGAAGTTGACTACCGTATGCCTCCATTGAATCATCTCTATGGGTTCCATACTACTGCTGTGCGTTGCACTATGATAAGGAAAGGGAGACCTACTTTTTGGTATGCTTTGTGATAGTAGCCTTGATTTGATACAGAATTTCAGCAACCTTAATTCTTTTTATTTTTAGTCATAGTGACTCATTTTCTAGGATCTGGGCATGAGACTATGAGGGAGGCTGGCCAGGAGACAAAACACAGAAGCAGATGCTATGCTACTGTCAGAACCACCTTTCCCCTGAGTAAGAGGATTTGTTTAGGCTGTGATCCTCTGCCGCACTCTCTGTTCTCTTAGGGTGAGGCATTAGTCCCCCTCAACTTTTTGTGTGAATAAATAAACTTCTGGTGGGACTCCAGGACATCCTGGAGTCATATCTTAGTCTCTAGCTACAGACATAGCTTAGGCTCAGGCTGGGACTTTGCTAAACAGGTCAAGACCTAAGAGGGTATAATAAGGTGACTTCAGGGAGAAAGAGAAGTAGAAACTGTCCTGGAAGTGCTCTCCATAGGCCCATGGTCCCTCAGCTGATACGGGCTCTGCGGTACATCCTCTGGGTACAGAAGCCTTGACACCCGTGGTTAGCCAATAAGAATCCATTCTGGCAGTACCAAAGCGTTTGATAAGACTCTCTGGGCTGCCCCAGTTGGAGCCCCTGCACCCGTAAATGATCTGAAGTACTCTTTGTGAATGAATACACCTATGAGTGACCCCGTGGCCCACCACTGGTGCTGTGTTTTGGGTCTTGGCCCAAATATTACTATCTACCATGGTGAAATCTGAGTACACTCTCAGTTCAGCGTCACATTGCCTCTTTACAAGGGCCTTTTAAACCAGGTATAGCATCAAAGGGGGTAATTCTAGAGGTTCTGCAAAATTCCCAACTCAAAATTCACCCACCGGCACGCTAACAGGTATAAGCAAGTGGAAGGGGTGTACTCACTGTTCCAAGGAGAGACAGGTACATCACAGTGATGAGCACTGTTCCCCTAAGACATGATATGGCATTTTCTATGAGTAGAGCTCACATGACTTAATCAGAAAGTATGCTGTGTAGGACCTGGGTGTCAGGTGTGCTGAAGAACCTGCCAACAACCATCAGAACCACTGTCGCTACCTACTCTTACTGAGTTCCCTGAAAATCACTGACGGGATGAGTAGATGTCTGGGCCACCAAACTATTGGGATTTTTGATACTGTAGATAAGAAACTGAATTACTTGAAGATATAGGAGGCATATCCATCTCTGTGTCCCTCATCTTCTTTTCTCTCCTGAGATTAAGGCTTTCAACTAGAAGGAATCAGGGCCCTTTACGGATAGTAAAATAAAGCAGGATTTGGTATCTGAGCCCATGGCTTAAGATAACAGAAGGATGATCTGGGTTTGGAATGCCGGTCATAAAAACCAAAAAGAATATATGTGAAGGAGACTTGCCTATCCGATCAAAATACTTGAAACTGAGGGAGAAAAAAGTCTCAGATAAAATGCTGTAAATTATACAAGTGAATGAAAAAATTCTTTTGTCTTGAACCAGAAGTCTTCTTAAGAAAGAAATTGTTTTATTCAGGAAAATGTCTACATAAGCAGTTTGGGATTGAAGGTAAGACCCTGTAGAGATAGTATAGTATGAGTCAAGGAAAAAGAAAGAATCAGCTAAAACTTTTGTATGTTGGTTAGAAACAAGAATTTGGGGCACATGGGGGAAAGCTTGGAAGAGGGTAGAAAGTAGAGAGAAGACAAGGTAAAGCATCATATCAAGGTAGATGAAGGAAAGATGCTCCATGTTCATTTGGAGTTGTTTCTCCACTTGTGTGAGTGTTGTTTTGGTTACCAAGGATAAGTACTTGGCTTTAAACCTCGGTTATGTGATGCGGCAAGGGGAAATGCAAACAAAATGGCAAGATGGTCCATAAACTGAGCAAAAGCTCAGAGCCAGCCTCTCAGGCAAAGGTAACAGGAAACAGAGGTGAAAACAGGGAAGCAGAGATGCTCAGGGGTCTGGGCACCAGCATGGAGTAGAGAAACAAGGCGAACTTGACATGTAACAGGAAGAGGCAAATATGATTTCAGAGAGTGGGACACCTGTTGGGATGGTGCTTGTTCAACAATGGGAGGAGGCAACCGGTTTACAAGAGAGAGAGTTCTTGCAAAGGCAGGGAGGAGTTACCCAGTACAAACAAGGAGTGTGAAAATTAATTTACCTGAGGGTGAACAGCGTAGAAAACTTGGGTAATGAAATACGAAAATGATAATTATTTCTGCTAATGTTTTTTGCTTTTTTTTCTATTGGTGGGTATCATCAAGACATTTTACATGCAATATCTCATTTAAGTTTCACTGTAGTCATAAAAATCGTGAAAATTTTCACTACGGTCCCCACATTATGGATGGGGAAACCAGTGATCAGAAAGGTAAAGCAAATTGTCCGAGGCTACCCAGGTAGGGAATGTGGTGAGAATCCAGACCCAGGAGGTCTGCAGAGTCTGAGGTCTTGTGAACGTGTGACGACTTGTGTCCCAGGAAGGGGGACCCCTTCCAGGGCTCGAGAGTGGGCTCTAACACTGGGAAATGAATTGTCCGAGGAGGCACCCGTATTGACAAAACGAAAACCTTTATTGGGAAGGGGTGCCCCGTTGGAGAGCAGCAGGGTAAGGGAACCCAGGAGAACTGCTCGGCCACATGGCTCACGGTCTCAGGTTTTACGGTAATGAGATTAGTTTCCTGCTTGTCTGTGGCCAATCATCTTGCTTGGCCTATATTTGGTCTGACTCAGGGTCCGTCCTGGTGGCATCTCTCAGCCAAGATGGATTCTAACAAGAAGGATTTGGGGAGGTTGGTAGGGCATATGGACTGGTATATCCTTCCTCCTTTTGGCCCCTCCCGAATTCTTCTGGTGAGTTTTTGGCGGCAGTCCTGTTCCTTACCAGGACCTCTTGTCGCGAGACAACTCATGCAAGTGGTTATTATCGTGCCTGGCCTAGGAGGGCAGGTTCGGTCAAAGGTTCCCTAACACATGGACTAACGGAAAGTACAGATGGCTTTTTAAAAAGTTCTGATCCCCGGCACAGATACAGGCAAAGAAATCGTGAGGACTTCCAACTTGCAAGTCATCTGCCGCGGGTGGAGGTCTCATTATCCTAAAAGCCCAATGTTTGGCAAAAGTCTTTTCACTGTGCGTAGCAAATAACATCTTCTCTGAAAAGACAAAGGAGACAAGGTAGAATGCTATCTCTTGGCATTTTGCACATTGAGGGATGACCTTGCTCTTCCTATGAAAATTATGGGAGCCTTGGAAGAAAGAGATGCTGTAATCTTGGAGGTGGTGAGGGTGAAGAAGAGGGTGTTGGCCACAAACATGTGCCCCAGGCATTAGGAGGGCAAACATCTGTATTAAGCAGGGCACTTTCACTGGCAAACAGAAAAAGAGAGTAGATTGGCCCTTGTGACTAGGAAGCCCATGAGTGACTGGCTTCAGGCATTGCTGTAGTCAGGAGTTCAAACAAGACAGTTAGGGCTACTCTGATCTCTCTTGTCTCGTCCCTTGGTTCTGTGTATTGGCCTCTGCAGATGGGTGGGAAGGCAGTTGCCTATAATTTCAGATTTATAACCCAGGTGGAAAAGTGCTCTTTATCTCTCTCACTCTCTATTTTTCAATGCAGGCCAGATCTTTTTATTTATTTGTTTATTTATTTTTTTGTGGTACGCGGGCCTCTCACTGCTGTGGCCTCTCCCGTTGCGGAGCACAGGCTCCGGACGCGCAGGCTCAGCGGCCATGGCTCACGGGCCCAGCCGCTCCGCGGCATGCGGGATCTTCCCGGACCGGGGCACGAACCCGTGTCCCCTGCATCGGCAGGCGGACTCTCAACCACTGTGCCACCAGGGAAGCCCCAGGCCAGATCTTTTATTGGCCTTGCTGGGTCTCATGCTCTTCTTGGGACCCATCACCATTGCAAGATGGAGCACATACTATGACTGACCCAGCCTGGGTCATTGTTCCACCCAGCAATGGAGGTTGGGTTGAGGATGGTGGGTGAGGTTCCACAAAGGAAATAGCGCCCCTGGGACAACATAGTGATGTCCATCATGACGCGTTTTGAACATTCAGAGAGAAGTCTGGTCCAGTAGCTGATGACTTCATACAGGAAGATAGAATGTTCCTAGAAAAGACATTGTAACACTACAGTCAGAGCTGGTCCCAATGAGGAGCAAGAGGGGGAGTGACTAAAGCCACCCTGGGGCTGTGCAACTCGCTCTAGGGTGAACTCCGACTTTAAAAAGACATACAACCCCAGGACCCTGAGGATGAGAACCAAAGAGTAGAGTGGGTTTGTGGGAATAGTGACGGCAAGGCTAAGGCTCAGAATAAACTCATATTTAAAGAGGGAGACATTCTGAGGACAATACAAAGTCTTTGTTTGGGCTGTGTTTAGTGAAAGAAAAACAGTGCAAGTGTAGACCCATGGCTTGGGCAAAAGAAAATAACATTAGATAAGAAGGCAGAGAACATCAAATAGAAGTTGAAAATATAAATTTTCTATGAAGGATGTCAGACTAGAAAGAGAAGAACAAACAGTATGTAGAGGTTTGAAGTCCATGGAAAGACAGTGATAGCTCACTCAGTGGTTACTTCCTCCCTCCTTGTTGGTAGATGGCTGACTTTTTTTTTTTTTTTTTTTTAAAAAAGAAATTTGTGCCTTTATTAGAATGGTGTTAGGCTTTAAATATACCAATTTGGGTAATCAAATTATTCATTTTTTAATAAGAAATGACACTGCAGAACTGCAATACTGGTCCAACAGTCTTGTCTTTACTTGTCCTTTAAAGCGAGAAACAGGATGCAAGGAATCAGAAAGCACTAGCAGGCATCAGTTAATCCAAGATACTAGCTTCTTAGTTCCAAAAGCACTTGCAAAGAAAACCACTGGGGGGCATAGGGTACGGAAGCACTTCCTAATAACTGGAATCCCATGAGTGTGTGTGTATGCCAAGTCTCACAGGCTATTTTTTGTATTTATCCTTTACTTGGTCATTTTTTTCCCTCAAATACTAGTTTTTCTTTGACTTTTTTTCCTCAAAGTATAAAAAGTATGAAATATACACAAGCTGTTGCACTGCACACTTCAGAGCGTACAATTCAAGCATTATAGAGCTATCGACATACCGATAAATCCCATCAAATCTTGGATAATTCAATAATATGCAAAACAGCAGGGCACAGAAAGAACTAAAACCCACTTCTTTTTGTTACACGTTAAGATTCAAATATTCAATCTAAAGAAAAACACTCAATCATTTTGGCTCTCCTCTACATTCGCATGTTGATATACTTATTAAAATATTCCTGTATAATTATGTTTGGTCTTATTATTTCAAGTCAGGTTTACAACCTCAAAACCAGCCATCCAGACAAAACAGGTAATCAGAAAGATTATTCTTCCCCACCTCCCTAACCCCAATAACTATGAAGCCAATTTTACGACATGACTCCAAACACTGGATTGTGACGACAAATGCTAGGTCCAATTTCTTCATAATCCTTTTTGGTGTGGCATACTTGGTAGAACTCAGGTGTGGAAGCCAGCATGGATCCTCCAAACCAAACTGCATATCGCTGCATGTGGTGTGTAATGACTTGTACATCAATAGGTTTTGGCTTCAGTCTACCACCACTCAATTCCTCACTTAATTTCAGCCTGGCATCTACAGTTCTTTTCAAATCTCTTTGCAAGCGACGTCCGAAGTCCCTGAACATGGTTGAACCTCCAGAGAGGACAATATTCTTGTAGAGAGGACGTCTGACATCAATAGGACAATTCTGAATTACTTCATCTACAACTTCTGAGATAGGCTGAGTAAAGTCTGGATTAGCAAACTCTGGATGAAAAAATATTTCAGGTCCCAAGAATCTCTCATATCCAACATCAATGGAAAATTCCTTCTTTGAGATAGCATTGATTCCAGTATACTGTTTAATCCACTTTGATCCATCTGTATCATACTTGTTAAATTCTTTTACTAAATCTGGACAGACATAACTATAGCGCTCCTTTACTGCCTTAGCAGTTTCCAAGGATTGCTCTGGAGGAATTCCTACTTCTCTGTCTCTCAGCAATTGCTGAATAAAATATGTTATATCTCGTCCTGCGATTGGAATGTGCTTAATACAGCTGCCAATCACATACCCTTCAGCCACAGGGATGACATGAGTGACACCATCTCCACTGTCTATTACCGTACCGGTCAACGTCCGTTCTCCTACTTGTCTGGAGGTCCACGATGCAGCTAAGGCAAGAACAGCCTGTACAGCAATGTACAAGCCTGGAACATTGAAGGACTCAAACATTATTTCAGCAGTATATTCCCTGTTTTCTGGAGTATTCAGTGGAGGTTCAGTCAAAAGAAAATAATGGTCTTCAGGTTCCGCCCTTAAATATTTAAAGATCACTTGCTCCATAAACCTTTCCGTCAAGTCCCAATCTTCAACTATACCATGGCGGATTGGCCACTTTGTTGCATATGTAGGTTTTTCTATTGCTTCATCACCAATGAAGAAGTCTAGGTCATCAACACCTTTCATCACCCTCCTTTGAGCTTGATCACCCACTTTTGCTGACTCCTTAATAGCAATACAGGAAGGGATGATAAACTGTGGTTCCGTATTTCCAGCATATCCTAGTTTTGTATACCCCGTGCCACAGTCCACCACACAGGCCGGCAACCGTCCCGCCATCTTCCTCCTCGCCTGCTGCTGCCGCTGCCGCCGTCTGCTCCGTGCCGGTTGGGGCCAGGGATGGGCGGCGAGAGGTAGAGGCTATCTGACCGTCCACGGCCAGGCCGCCCTCTCCGTCCGCGGGGTAGCCGGGAAGCCAAAGCAGTAGCGAGAGAGCAGCAGGTTCGGTCAGCGGCTACCGATGGCTGACTTTTTAAGTATTAACACCCCTTCACCACGTCTGAGGGATGAGTTCTGAGTTGTCCAAGACAGTTGTGTGGTTCCATGCCCCTCAGCACTGATTGGTTTGAGGATAGGCAAGAGACTTACTTCTGACCAATGAGATGTGAGGACTGCTTTGTCAAGGTTTCTGAAACAGTGTCCTTGCTTCTAAAATATGTACGGAGGGCTTCCCTGGTGGCGCAGTGGTTGAGAGTCCGCCTGCCGATGCAGGGGACACGGGTTCGTGCCCCGGTCCAGGAGGATCCCACATGCTGCGGAGCGGCTGGGCCCGTGGGCCGTGGCCGCTGGGCCTGCGCGTCCGGAGCCTGTGCTCCGCAACGGGAGAGGCCACAACAGTGAGAGGCCCGCGTACCGCAAAAAAACAATCGACTAAAAAAAAAAAAAAATATATATATATATATATATATATATATATATGGAACCAACAGTCCTTCCATTTTATATATGGAACCAACAGTCCTTCGTTTACTGCTGGCCATTGTTGTGTTTGCATGGGATTATTAGAAATGCAAAGACCATCTTTTGACCTTGAGGAAATTGAATTGACAACCTGAGGATGGCAGAGTAGAAGGGTAGAGAGGTGTCCTTGAAGATGTAATTGAAGTAACCAGTCCTGAAGTCCCTCTACCTAGCACTTCTCAGTTTATGAGGTAATCAATTTTCCTTATTGTTTAAGCTAGTTGAACCTGGATTTTCTGCTCCCTGCAGCCCAAGGCGTTCTGACTGGCTCCGAGCTCAAGGGAGATGAAGAGATTAGATAAGAAAGGGGCAAGAAGCAGGATTCAAATGGGTCCAAGTATCTGACCCAGTGACTCACATCCCGAGGTGTGGAAAGAACTTTCCGGTGGGATTGGGGAGCCACTGTCCGTAAATTTTAAGTAATTGTGGAGAATAGAAGGTGGTGCCCGAATCGGGAACTGGGCAGAGATTATTCCGATTTTCATAAAGGAGAAAAACGATTGTTTCTGGAAACTCCAGACAAGTGAGTTTGAGGTAGATCCTTGACAACAGAATAGATTAAGAAGCAGATGGTGGGTGAGCATTTAGGAAGGAATGTGGTGGTCAGTCGAAAGCAAAATGACTTCACTGAGCACAAGTTATTCCAAACTAACCTCATTTCCTCTTTTGATAAGGTTACTATGTGTGTGAATCAGGTGTATGCCCTAAACATTGCAGGTCTCGATCCAGCCTAGGGTTAACAGTTCCTCTCATGGTTTCCTTGTGGCGAAGATGGTGAAATGTGGGTTGGATGAGAGTAGTGGTTTTACGTATTTGCCGCTGGAATCCAAAGTGTTGACTATTGGATGGATGTCACTGCCCACGCGCTGAACTCGGTTGGGGTGGTGGAGAGAAGTCTCACATTGGCCTGAGCTTGGCTGGGGCTGAGAGTCTGACACTCTGGGTGCGAAAGCCCTGGGATGGGCAGGAGAAGATCCAACAAACCCTGGGCCTATTGCCCAGAGAGATTGGGTGACGCTGAGAGGATCACGTGGATATAGGATGGGGCAGAAATGAAAAGAAATGTCATCAAGAAGACCTAGAGAGGTGGATGCAGACAAAGAGGCAGGTTTCAGGAGGCAAGAACAAGAAGACAGAAGCAGGTGGGGCAGCAGAGGGGGAGTCAAAGGCAGTCCCACGGATGGGTGTGTATGGAGCCCTGCTCAAGCTGCATCTCTTCACTGCTCAGAGGGGCCATGTTCCACTCGTGACAGTGGATGTCAACCTTCAGAGAGGTTTCTTGCCGAGTGCCAAGGGCTCTCTCCTTGATCCTGTCTGATTTATCACTAGATGAAAACTCAGGAGGCATACTGATCAAAGGTGTAGATGTCACAAATCCGGGAGGGAGAGTTAATACCAGAGGTGACAGAATGAGGACCCAGAGTGGTCCTGACAGGTTGGAATGCTGGGTCAAAAACAATAAGACACAGTTTAACAGGCCTACGTGTAAAGTCTGGCTTTTACGTGCAAAAAACAAATGGCAAATACACGGAGTGGGGGAGATTGCCTTGGCAGGAAATCATGTGAAAAATATCTGCGGCTTCGAAATGACCAGCAGCTCAGAATACGCCAACAGTGTGATGTGCTTGTTAGCAGTCAACATAACATGAGATGGAAGAACGGAAATCCAGTCCTCTTGGGAGGGAGCCGTCTCATTGTACTCTTGGTTAGATGACACCTGGGGTATCATGTTCGGTTTGGGACACCAGATTTTGAGAAGGGCATGGACCAATTGGAGTGTACTCAGAGACGAGCTAAGATGGAGAAAGTTCCAGAAGTTATTTGATGTGAGGAGAGGTTGAAGGATAGGAAAACATTCTGCCTGGAGAAGCAGACACAAGAGGACTTGGGAGAGGGATGCACATCATGGAGGAAGGAGTTGGTCCATTCGCTGAGATAGGACTAAAACCAAAGAGAGAAGATACGGAAAAGCCAATGTACGTCCATATAGAGAAAACTTTTCTGATCATTGTAGTCAAGAGAAATCACGATCACTTATGAGTTTCAAAAGCACGAGCTCATTTGTGAGGTGGGTCATAGATACCCACCTTGTCATAGATAAGGTAACTGTTTGAAATGATTAAGAAACTGTATGCTGTTGTATTCCCCAGTGCCTAGAACATTCCCTGGTAAATGTTTGTCCAATGAGTGCGGTTTTAGAGAAGTTGAATGCCTTTCTGGAGGTCATGCAGACGGATACCTCACTCCATGACAAGCCTTGGAGCAGCTGTCAGACACCATGGGCCGCCCTCGGGCAGTCGAGCGCGACGTGAACACCGGCAGGCGAGCGTTAGGGGGCTTCTGGAATGGGGTGATGGGGAGCAGAGGGCCTCAAAAGCCCTTCCAATTCAAAGGTTTCACCCAGAATGTTCCTAATCCAGAGACTCCAAATTGCTGCTTGAGAACACATGCGGGGCGTGGGATCTGTCCTCACACACGCCCCGCTGCTGTGGTCGATGGTATCTTCCCTGGAATCCTCTCAGCCCTCTCCCTATAGATCCCTATCTTGGGTGCGGGTGTGTATAACTAGTGCTTTTATATCCAGACCCCCAGGGTAACATTTACTCATACAAAGGCCCCAGGAAGATGGAATTTCAGCTCACTGAACCGCCGAGATATGCTTTCGACTTCTGTGCTTGTTGCCGGCTTGTATCACAAGTGTAAATCCTCTCTCTGGCTTTGGCACGGGAGGAAACTCCTTTTCTGCAGAATGGGAATTTGCAGAAACTGAAGCGTGATCATCCGAAGCGAATTCAAATCTGGCTTTTTCTGTACGGACCCCCAGGACAGACCAAGGAAGGTGTTTTTCCCTCTTCTTTTCAGGATAAGTTATGATATACCTAGAAAGTCCTCACCCCCTTTTATTGTGCTGGGGATGGGGTGATTGGGCTGTCATAAAATGGACATCAGTGTATGTTTGGGTTAAGTTCTTTTTCTTCCAAGAAAAGTGCCAAAGAAGTCTCAGGTGAGCCGAGGGTCCTGGTTAACACTCTTGATTGGCAGGGGCTCTGCTGTCTGCCCTCGGGCAGGATGTACTTCTGCTCAGTGGTGCCCACCGTCTCCACTAGGTGGAGAAAAAGAGCGGTGACGAGATGTACACAGCCCCAAATCAAAACCACAGTCCAAAGAGTAAAATCCAATTCTAAATGGAACTCGAAAACTTGAGAAGTAATTTAAGGGAACCACATTAAATACGAGAATGTTTAATGGGGCCCATGTGTCGTGAGCAGAGAGAGAGAGGGCGAGAAACGGGACAGAGGAAACCCGGGAGACAATATGTCTGTGCGACTTGTTCTAATTAGGGGCAGAGCGCCGCTGAGCATCATTCATTATAATTTGGTTGAATCTTCAGCTTGGGCCGAGGCACCTCTGCTGAGTGGTGTAAAACAAAGGGCTCTGTCGGAAACGGGGTGAGCGCCTCTCCCTTGGAGGTTAACGCCAGTCACCAGGGAGGGCCCAGGGCCGTACATCACTCTCCTGCCAGCTCTTCTTTATGGCTCCAGCGCCGGGCTCCAGCTAGCAGATGTCTGCAAATTTCGGGGAGGAGAGGGGAGGGGAGCAGGGGGGAGGGAGGGGGCCCGCGGCGCTCATTGTCTCCAACGTGTCTGTCGCTTAATTCAGTATCTCTGTCTGCCGCTGGAGCGGGATGGGAAGAGTTCAAAGGAGGAAATCAAAACAATCCATAGATCAGAGCTTGGGAGTGATCTGCGTGGCACCCAGAAATCACCGGCACTCCTCCAGCTCCGCTTTGAAATGGGGAGGCCGGCGATGATTTAGGGGGGCCTTGCTGGCGCTCACACCAGCAGCACGTGGAGCTCTCACTGGGGGGTTATTTTTTAACAAGGAGAAGGCAGCCAGAGGTCCGAGGGGGTGTGTGTGGTGTGGGGTCAGGTTCAGGTCTGTCCCAGGTCACAGGCGTTTTTAGTTCAGAGCTAGAGGTGGTGTAGGGGTGTTAAGAAGGACCTGAGATGAGGCTGACACCCCCCACCCCCCGAAACACACCGTTTGGGTTTCGGACTCTGCAGCTCAGTCCATGTGGCTTGGGTGTCTCACCCAGGCCTCCTGCCAAGCTCTCAAACTTAGGAGGGTGCCATTTGTTTGTTTTCAGCTCTTTCTTTGTACCCCACTGCACAGCCAACGTGCTGGCTTGCTGTGGCCTGGGCAGGGCCTCTGCTAGCCTCCAGGACATCTTCAAAGCAAGGTGCCCCCTGGAGGTAAGAGCAGAGCTTGGCCAGGCCGATGATGGTTTCCTGTGACCCGACACAGCTTTGAGCTAGGCACACAGCTTGTCATTGAAAATGCAGGTTGAGTTTCTCCCCATACTTGACCCTCCCACCAAGTGTCTGAGCAAAACACAAACTGCACGTCTTAGGCACCAGCTGGGGCAC